GAGGAGGAGAGCATTTGGATTCAAGTGCTAATACACTGTTGTTAAACGAAATGAATCAAGAACTTAAAAAAGGTTTAAAAACAAAAAAAAATTGATTATTTAATAAGTTGGTATATAAATGCAACCTCTTTAAATAATAAATTTGATGAATTCATTGATGATATATCCAGATCTAAGGCTCAAGTTATATTTGTGTGCGAGACATGGTGGTCAGTAATGTCTACTACTAATTTTCCGGGTTATAATCTGTTTAGAAAGGATCATCAATTTAGTCGTGGTGGTGGAGTATGTATTTACATACAAGAGAATATTAAATCTTATAAAAAAAAATAAACAATCGATAATAAATAAAAAATATCTAGCAAGTATGGTGTTTGATCGAAATTGGCGAAGAAAATATTTTATGTGGTTGTATTTACCGGACAGGTCTTAGTAATAATGAAAAGTGTGTTGACATTATAAAATCATTAAAGCAGGCATATTTACTTAAACAAAATAACAAATGCTCTGGTATTTTTATATGTGGTGATTTTAGCTATGGAAACATCAAGTGGAATGACAAAAACTTTAGTGAAATTATAAATGAGAGTGACACAACAGCAAGTATGTTTACTGAGTCATTACATGACTGTTTCTACACCAAGTTATTATCTGTCCTAGTTTTCAAGTAAAGTTTGGAATAGATACTAACATTTTAGACTTTATTTTAACTGATAATAGCAGCAGAGTTTATATTCTGGAGCATTTCCACCCTTAGGTGGCATCGATCATGGTCATCATATTTTGAAATTTAGATTTGGATACGAAAATAGGTCTAATTTATTAATATCACAACAAACAATAAGGAAGAGAAAATTTCTACGGAAAAAAGGAAACTATAAAGCCTTAGATTTGTATTTTAATAACATAAACTGGGTACAAGAATTTGAAGGGTGTTAATGAATGTTACAAAAAATGGCTTAGAAAATATGAAATAGGGTGTGAAAAATATATTCCAATACTGAATTTAGATAAAAATTCTTTTCAACACAATAACAACTCACTGTGGATCACTTAAAACTATGTGTAAAGATATATAAACTATGTGTTTCTTATTGAAAACAATTTAATTTCTAAAGAGCAACATGGTTTTGTTAATAACAAAAGTTGTATAACAAACCTGTTGGAAACATTAGATTTAATGACGCAAGCGTATGAAGAGGACATTTCAGTTGATATTTTGTTTTTGGATTTCAAAAAGCATTTGATTCAGTCTCTCATAGAAAATTCCTGGAAAAATTATTTAGACTGGGGTTTGGGTCA